CCTTCTGTCAAATGTTTTATTATACATTATGCTTTCAGGAACTTGGCGTTAAGTGGATTTATGTTCAGATCAGATGGAAGGCTAGGGCGGGAAATGATCTATTTTTTTTTTCTCTGTTTCAGTTTTTAGATGATCTTTGTGGATAAATTCAAGGTCAGCAGTCTAATGTCAACTTTTGCCAGCCTGGGTCTTTAACAAGAATATACACAAAGTAGATTATTGATATTAATATATTGCCTTTATTGCCTCTTTAAGGGCGTAAACAAAATCTTTCCATCTTGCTTTGTATGGTAACGTAGATAAAACCATGTACAAAAGATGGTAGATATATACCTATTTTGTAATGATAATGGCATATTCAGTGTTGCTAATTACAGAGCTATAGCTAATATTAACTAGTTAATTCAAATACCAGCCACATTTGCTGAGTATTTCTAACATTTTGGAGGAAGCCCAATTTAGGTTTATTTATTTATTTATTTATTTTAATCCTCACCCAAGCATATTTTTTTCCATTGATTTTTAGAGAGAGTGAAAGGGAGGGAAGAGGTGGAGAGAGGGAGAAAGAGAGGGAGAAAGAGAAACAACGCAAGAGGGACACATCAATTGGTTGCCTCCCGAATGGGCCCTGACCCAGATGGGGGATTGAGCCTGTGCCCTTGACCAGGAATGGAACATGAGATCCTTCGGTCCATGGCTGACACTCTAACCACTGGCAGAGACTGGCTAGGGCCCCTAATTAGATTTTGAATGTTTGAAATATTCTGTTAAGATTACAGTTACTCATTTTACTTCCTGTTAATAATAGCTGGCTAATATCTAGCTGAAATAGGTCAGGTAGCAGAGAGGAAAGAATAGGTAAAATAGATATTATGTTTAAAATTATACAATTGGATTATTGATAAACTGTTGAATAAATTATAATAGGGATCTTTTTAAAAATATATTTTATTGATTTTTTTTACAGAGAGGAGGGGAGAGAGAGAGTTAGAAACACCAATGAGAGAGAAACATCGATCAGCTGCCTCCTGCACATCCCCCACTGGGGATATGTTCTCAACCAAGGTACATGCCCTTGACCGGAATGGAACCCGGGACTCTTCAGTCCGCAGGCCGACACTATCCAAAACCGGTTTTGGCTAAACAGGGATCTTGACACAGGTAAGGATAACGAAGAAGTTAGACCAGATAATCTTGAGCTAGGTATGGCCTACCAATAAAATCACATAATTTTATACTTAAAGTAGAGAAATATATGTAGATGTTTCTTACTGACTCAATTTAGCCCTCATTCTTGTCTTTGTGTAAGGTTCAGATTTCATAGCACAAATGTGTGTTCTTCAGATCTTGGGTTTTCTCCAAAATGGATAATCACCATTTGTTTTCTAATGCAATGCCAAGAACATCAATAATTAAAGTTTAATTATTCATTGCCTTTCTTCTTCTTTAGCTTAGTTTCAACTGTGAAGTTGACTATCATCCAGAAATGGTATATATTACATTCTTCCTTTAATATGTGAAATAAACCCAAGGCATTATTTCTCTTCTAAAGACATTTCACCTTATTCTCTTCAATGTATGTGTGCTAAGGGTTATTATTAATTTGGAGAAAAGAGAAATTTTTATTAATTTGGAGGAAAGAGAAATTATCCTCTGCAGGATCCTCTGACTCCGGGATATCTTTGAAGCTGGACAGACCCGGGATCACGTCAGGTTGTACTCTATACTTTCGACTCAGTACTTTGTAGTAATGTAACGTTGGACAAGCCACTTAACTGCTCAAAGCCTTCATCACTAATATGTAAAATGAGAAGAATGATGGTACTTCCCGTATAAAACTGTTTTAGGAATTAAATTCAAGTTGTTTGGCACAACTCCAAACACTTACTTGGTGACCCTTCAGGAAATGTCAGCTATTATTGCAAGTATCATTACTAGTGTTTTATTGGCTGAGTTGTGTTCCCATCCAACGCACACCATGTTCATACGTTGACATGCTAACCCCCAAAACCTAAGAATGTGAATGCATTTGGAGATGGGATCTTTAAACAAATAATTGAGGTAAAATGAGATCATGTGCGTGGGCCCTGGCCCAACATCACCGGTGTCTTTATAAGAGGAGATTAGGATAAGGGAAAGCCATGTGAAGACACAGGGAGAAGTTGGCCATCTACAAGCCAAGGAGAGAGATCTCAGAAGAAACAAGTCCTGTCGACTGTGCCATGCCAGCACAGCTAAGGGGTGAACCTGAGAGGGAGCGGTGAAGGATTGAGAAAAGACAGACAAGAGAATGAAAGCTGGGTTTCGGTAGAGTGCTGCCTCTCTGATGGAGAGAGAGAGATTGAGAGAGCAACAATGCCCACAAGCCTTGTCTTTATTTTATAGCCGATGCCACGAGGCAGAGTAAGGGCGTGATCAAGATATTTACACCATTCTCGGGGGTTTCGATTCTACTCAATTACATGCACCTGGTCAAGATTTGTTTACTTGCAGCCTATATCACTTAGGCACATGGGACCACGCTTTCAGACCATAGGTTCACGCTGACAACTACAGCTGTTGGCTATCATTGTGCTGGGAGGGCTCTGCCCTCCGAGTTGGGACTTGCACGTGGCCATGAGTGCACTGTGCCCTCTCATTAGCCTGAGGCTTGAACCCATTCAAAACACTGTGGCCACACTCCACAGCTGATACCTTGACCTTGGGCTTTTAACCTCCAGAATTGTGAAAATTAAACTTCTGTTGTTTAAACCCCTCAGTCTGTGCTACTGTGTTTGGGCTGCTTCTACATTTTCTTGCATGGGGGTTGCGGGGAGGAGTTCTGTTCTCTGACCCTCAGCTGCTGTGTGTGGGAGTTGGCTAACCTGAATTAGGCCTCAGGTGAAATATGGACCCAAAGTTCAAGATGCCCCAGAGCATAACATCCCCAGCTTAACTGCTTGGCCCTTGTTATGTCCATACTGGTTTGAGCAGCAGGTGGGGGAGGGCGGGGAGGCAGAGGTGACTCACAGAGGAGCCTCAGACCTCCGCGCTCTCCATGGGCATGGCCTGTTTGCTTCGCCAAGTGGAGCGAAAGGTGTTGTTTGTTCATCGAATGTTATTATGGAAACAAAAACATTCACCACTGCAGAGCTTGTTGCCTGTAAATCCGATGGGAGCATGGTGTCATTGGAACTGGGATAATAATGACCCCATGAATGGCTGATGGCTCTTGATGGACAAGTCCACTGAGCTGCAGGCGCCTCTCTTTCTTTCTTAGCAATTTGGACCCCGTTGTATCCCTTCTTCCAAGCCTGTCCTTGTTGACTGCTCCTCTGTCCTTCGCTCTACTTCCTTTCCTCTGGCACGGCCTGGTTAGGCCAGCTGGGAACCATGCACGGCACTGACAGCAATGAATCCAAGCCATGGGACTCATCTCGTCCTCCCCAGAGATGGGAGGCAAGGACTTCCCAGCCCCTCCAAGCCTCCCCCCTCACCTCCCCAGGGATTTCTGCAGCCCAACTGAAGCCCTGAACGCTCCCTCGCTGATTACAAGCAATGTGTCTATTGTCATTGAAGGGCAAAAAGAAACCTAACTTGTCCCAACGCCTACCGGGAATGTTCAGGAGGGTGGCTCTCCATAGGTGAGGCTGGGCACATGTAAGTTGCAGGTGGTAAGTACTGGCATTGAGTGTGAATCTCCGTGCATTGACAGTAGGGTGGTGAGGGACAGGGCCCGCAGCTGGGAGTGAGTGCGTCCTTATATTTTGCCCTGCGGCAGCCACTCCCAGTTGGCAAAGGAGAATCGGGTTCGCAGAATCCCAGCCCCAGCATCACACAGCAGAGGCAGGGCTAGAGCCAGAGCAAAAGCGTAACCCAGTCACCCAGGCTCACCCCTTGGTTGAAACCTCATGAGTGTAGAGCGGATGCAACCATCTCCGTTTACTCAGCTCAGTGACGTCTTGGGAGAGTCTCTGGGGCTGGGCCCTAGGTCTTCCCAGGGTCCCGGTGACCCACGACCCTCAGATCATGCCAGGAGGCAGCCACCCACCCAGTTGGTCTGCAGCATGGCCCGAGCCCCTCTCGGTGAAGAGCATGATGGGGAGACACCGCACTGTCACAGAGCCAGCCCGCGGTGTCGGCCGTGCCAGTCTCTGGCTTCATCGTTCTTGTATGTCACAACAACAAGCTCACTGAGGGAGAGTCTGTTACTGCGGGGCGTCCGAGGACTGCCGGGATGTTCCCTGCACTGCGTTCTCCGAGGACAGAGGAGCAGGGGCACCTGGGTCTTCCAGCACTGTGGGTGCTTGGCCTGATTCCTCCTACAACTCGCGTCCAGAACAGGAAGTGCGGAGGGCACGGGCTGGGGGCACAAGTCTCAAGCCCAAAGAGTCCCCAACTAGAAAGTTTGGAAAGTGTGCCCTGTGCCCCATGATACTGACCTTGCCTGCCTTGTTCTATAGAAATCGCTTGGCCTGATGGCAGCTGCCAGGAAAAATCTTAAAAACTGACCTTGGGCTTGCTCGAGGCATGTGCATTGATTTTACCATCTGTGCCAAAGCCTATTGCATCCCGACCTGCCTGTGCTCTGCTTGCACAAGAAGGCATCTCTGCGTCCTGGGGCTTGGCTGGGGCGATTGCGCCAGGGAAGGAAAACCAGTCCCTGAGCCAGCTCTTGAGCTGACCTTCCAGTCCTTGAGCCAGCTCTTGAGCAACTGTGAGAGGCCAAGTTCAGACGGCATTCCCCTAGGGGCTCGGAATTCCCCTAGAGGTTCCCGTGGGGAACCTGAGAGACCTGTTCCCCTCACCCCAGGCTTGGAGGGAGCAGGGCGAGCCTGTGTCCACGAGGAAAGGGTCAGGGGGCTGATTGGAGTTGGGATGGTGACCCCAGGGCCTGCCATGCTGGGGATGGACTTAGTAAGAAGAGCTGCCACTGAAGTCTGCCGAGAAGAAAGTGTCTGTGGACTGGGGCCTGTTCCCTGCAGACATTACGTGAGTTGCCTTGGGAAGGCCTTGGGGTCCTAAAGTGCGAGAGGACTGCTCCAGAAGGTGACTTCCCAGCGTGTCATTGCCAGCTGTTCTGGGCACTCTCCCAGGACAGCTGTGGCCTGGGCCAGAGGGGCCAGAGAAGCTAAAAGTGGAGATGGGCCGCTCACAGGTCCTCCTGCAGGTGCTGGTGGAGCCCAGCTGTTAGAACTGTCTGCCGCCTGGTCACTGGTCCAGCCACACACCCCACAGCCCCTGAGCCCATGCAGACCCCGCCCAGACCCACACCCTGGTGCAAAGGAGGCTGGGAAGATTTCTTGTTGGAAGCCGCCCATTACCTTCACAGCAGAAAGATGTGGACAAGGAGGGTTTTTGAGTAAGAAGAAACTTTGCTCTGAGGAGGCCTTTTAATGTGACTGCTCAGATTACAACGCCGACTAAGGCACTGAGCACTAAGTAAGCAGAAATGTCTACATTTGCTCTGTAAGTTCCCGTAGCAATTCCCTGGGCCTGTGAGAGTCCGCCCTGAGAAGGGTAAGAAAAGTGACCTCCTGAAGGTGGGCTTGACCAGAGGAGCGAGCCACTGGGACTTGGGACCTCCCAGTTCTGTGCTCTCCCCGTGACCTTGGGACCGATGCCTGTGCATCCAGAGCCAGTTTCCTCATCTGGAAACCAAGGGAAATTTTGCAGGTTTCCTCCGAAGAGTGTTTTGAAGAGCTGTCACAGACCATTTTCCAAGCTCAGCGTGTCCGATGGAGAGAAAGGACACTGCTGTTTCAGAAAGTCTGCAACCGTTTTCAAACCCACTCTGACTTCGTTTGAGGGGCATTTTCCTAAAGAGGGGCCGGGTGAGTGCCAGCAGATTCAGTGCTGTGTTTATCCACTCCCGGAAAACAGAGACCGACGTGATTTATTTATCTAAGTCTTATTTGAGACATTTCGGCCCGTTATCCTTTCAACTGGACCATCGGACCGACCCTCAGAAATGAGAACCAGCTGACGAAATAAGTAGTTGCACATGGAAAAGAAGCAAGAGGCGCCTTTCCAAAACTAATAACATTAACAAACTTCCCCAGGGGCACGTGAGCCAGAATTAATATACGATTGGGGAGAGAAGACATAAAATTTGAATCAGGACTCTGAGAACAGCTTGGTGGTTTGTTTTGTTATTGTTTGTTTGTTCTGTGTGTGCATGCGTGTGTTTTTTTTTGTTTGTTTTTTTTGCCCACCCTTTTTCCTTTTTTTCTGGCCCCTTTCCCTTCTGGCAGTGCCATTTATTCAAATTCTTCCTGTAACTGTCTTTAGCCCACAGATTTAGATCCCGGGATTCCATGTCTTTGCTGGACTCCCAGAGGGGCCTGTCAATAGGAAATGTATTTAAAAAAAAAAAAAAAACACACTTCAGTAAGTCACGTGACCAGGTGTAACTGATTTGAGCTAAACCCATAGGAAGGATGGCTTGCTCTCAAAATCAGTCTTCTGGCTGCCTTTGGGGCAGATGCAGTGACAAAGTCCATCTTTTGTGATGTATAAACCATCGCCGTCGTCTGAACATCTCAGCTGTTGGCATCACATCCTGGAGTGCTGGTCCCATTTCAGGTTCTGATGAGAACTCAGCTTCTCTCACAGCCTGAAGGGCGCTGAGCCCTGCCAGAACCCTTCTTCCAGCCAGTTCAGAAGTGGCTCGGGCTGGGTGACCCCTCCTCTGCCAGCCTCTCACAGCACCCCTCCTGGAGGGCTGCAGGTCACATAGTGCAGCTCCCTTGTTGGAGTCGGGAGGAAGCTGGAAGTCCTGTGGACTCACCTCTTCTAAGCCAGGCTTGGCTGAGCTGAATGGCTCCTCTCTCCTGCATGAGACTAAGGGGTACAGAAAAAGGTAATTTCTTCGTCCCCAAATAAAGTTTTATGTCTTAAACACTGCTTGCCAGTTTTCTCCCAAAAGATGACTTCAACTATTATTTATTTGTTTATCTATTTATTTAACTATTTATTTCTGAGATTTTGCTCAAACCCAGCCACTAAGGTTTGAGTCTGAGTTATCCCCATTTCAGGCAGAGGAGTCGTTTTAGCTGAATTGTGCTATGCAGGGAATTCTATTGCAGTTGACATTGCACTTAACATTGGTGGGTGGCGTACGCTGGCCTTGGGTTCACTGAGGGTTGAGTGAAGCAATTGCCACGTTTTCTGGCTGTCCAGCAGCTTTTGAACTGATCTTTGATCGAGTTGGGAAATTCCAGCTTTATGAGGCCCACTTTCACCGGGAAGAATCCAGAAAGCCAGTTCCCAGATTCTTCTGCGATTAGATGCGTGTGATCTGGGTGCCAGCAGTCCGTTACAGCTGCTGTGGACGTGAGGACTTGAAGGGAAAGGTTCTTGGTGAACCCATTCTGCTGGCCAGGGGAGCCGCAGAGGTTTCTTTCCGAAGACATGAGGATGGTGTGCGTGGAGTGGGGGGCTGGGAGCCTGTTTTCCCTAGCGAGGCAGCCACAGGGCCCAGTGTCTCCATCAGGGCCGTTCTGTGGCATGGATTCAGGTGCTGATCTACCAGACTGGTATTCCGGGCTTTCACTGACTCTGTGAGTAAGCCAGTGCCCTTGCTGTGAACTCCTTTCTGCTCCAGCACCGGAGCCAGCCTCTGCCGAATACAGTGGAAGGCCCCGAAGGCTTCATCAGCCTCATAGGCACGCCGAGCCCAAGATGGACTGCACAGCCGTCTCAGCCAGACCATCAGGAGCCCCCCCCCCCCCCCCCCCCGCTTCTCAAATCCCATTCCTCCCTAATTTCCTTCCTGCCTATCAGACCAGGCCTCCCGTAGTTTCCTCTTGCACCTGTCCTCTCACATTGCCCAGCTAACAGCCACTTCTCAGGAAATGGAACAAGTGGTCTGGGAACCCCCATGTGACCATGTGAGTCACCCTCACCCTGATTTCAAAGGCCCAGCCCATCATGAGAAAGGAAGGTTGCCCCCAAGGAAGCCATTTTGGGGATTTCCATTCCATTCCAAATGCCTGTCCACCATTTCGTTTGTAGAGCCTTTGAGGTCTCCTTGCTTAGCTACGTCACCACCAGCCCGGGATAGAATCCAGAGACATGCCCAACCAGTTAGGCAACTTTTGCTGGTCTCCAACTAGAAGTATTTACAGAACATAAACTCCACCAGGTCAGAAATGTATGTGTTCATCAATGCAGTAACCCCAGTGCTTACAAACTGTTCATAGTAGGGTGCTCAATAATTATGAGTAAGTGAATGAATTTTTTTCCCCCTCATGTATATTGATTGATTTCAGAGAGGAAGGGAGAGGGAGAGATAGAAACATCAAGGATGAGAGAGAATCACACTGCACCCTCCACCCTGGGGATGGAGCCTGCAACCAGGGCATGTGCCCTGACTGGGAATGGAACTGTGACCTTCTGGTTCATAGGGCGACACTCAACCATGGAGCCACACTGGCCGGCATGAATGAATTCCTTTACACAGTAAACTTTCTGTCTAAAATGCACTGTGGCAGGAATAAACAATGTGACTTATGGAGTTTGGTATGTTCTGAGTTTCACACATACAATAAAAATATTTCTATCCGTCTATTCTATTAATAGAAGCCTAACGGCTATAGTGGAGAAGAGTGGATTACCTCTCTCTGATATTTTGTGGTATCACCCACTAATGAAAATTTGTTGGCACTTGAAATAGTTTTATTTAGGTAGCCCCTGCCCAAAGTAGAGTGGTGTGGAAAGAGGTGGATTGTTCTATTTTCCGACCCCTTTCCCTCATAGCCATCAAAGGAAGAATGACATTTATGACTTTTTAAAAGATAACAGCCTCTCAGGCCTAGAGCTCTCACAAGCCATGAAGAAATGATTTTTCAGATGCTTCCCAACAGATGAGTAAGTTTGTGGAGAAACTTTCTGTCATTGTCCAGAGGCCCATATGTAAACTGGACTTGGTTGAAACGAAGTTAGCTGATAAGCCTCTTATCTAGATCTTCTTTTTCCACGGGAATGGCCTTCTGGGATTTCCCTCCGAGGACAGTGCACTGAGAACATCCCCTGGCTCATCCCACTGGCCTGAGCCACTTCTCTACTGGATGGAGTTCTTGGCCTGGCCTTGACGGTGTTCTATCCTGCTACCAAGTCAAACTTAAAGATATACACCTGAGTGTATAGCCAACAAAACAAAACAACACATTAAAATCATTTCTACTTTGCCAGAACAGGAAGTCATAGCCAAATAGAGAATACAAATGCTTAAGTTTGGTAGAAAGGCCAAGAAAGAGTAACCCAGCACAGTTGGGCCAGATTTTTTGGGGGTGAAACATTCACTTTCCACACTCCCAGGGGGTTGCTAACAAGAGTATCTCTTTAAATACCCAGCAATGGGAAGGAACCAGAGGGGCTTTCCCACTGTCTGGCTCACTCAGGACACCAGATCTTAACAAAGCCCCTGGTTCCTTTGCCATGTCCACGACAGCATTTTCCCTGGAATTGGAAAACAGCTGAGCGTGTGGGACAAGGCCTTCGTGATCATATGATTCCCTTCCTTTGTTTTTTTGGTCCACTTTTTGGAAACCTGGGACCAATTCCAGCCTTTCTGTATAAGGGTGAAGCCTGCAATTTAGTTTCTGTTTGATTTATCCCCAGGATGGAGTTCAACTAAGAATTTTATAAACACTTTCTGAGGCCAACATATGAGACTCACAATCTAGAGATCTGGATGTAATGTAAAAAAAAACAACAACAACAACAACAACACCATTACCCACCACAAAAACCAGTTGGATCTGTCTGTGGTTACTTCAGCCCCGGTAACTCCTTCTTTAATGGTTCTGACCTGGTCCCCATGGGAAATAGCTTTTGACCCCATGGGGCTGCTGGCTCCGTGAGTTAAAGCTATCCCTGAATCATTTCCCTTTTTGCCTCAGACCTGTAATATGAAGGTGAAAGGCCCAGCCCATCGCAAGCGGTGGATCAGCATTCTTCCTTTGGCACATAACCCACTTGTGACAGTTACTGTTGAAATACTTTTCCTTGGGCCATTTCTTAAAAAAAAAAAAAAAAAAAAAAAAAAAAAAAAAAGGCAAACCAATGCAGAATCAAGGTAAGACTCTCCGCTTCTCCACATCACTTAGAGATCCAGAAGGTATGTGGGTGAGCTCCCAGAATGCCATCCTGCTTGACCTGGCCTGCCATGTGCTCTTGGGAAAGGTTTCCACCTGCCGTACGTAATTCCATCTACCCTGAATATGAGCTGGAGATGACAGAGTGGCTGATTCGACAACATTTTCTAACAATTTCTATCTGTTGCCCTAATATTATCCACAATCCTATCACTGTCAATAGCTAATGTTTATTGATCAGTTGCTATATATACAAGAAGTTGTTAAGGCTTTTTTACATGCACCATTTTATTTTGTTCTCATAACTACCCTGTGAAGTAGGTACCAAGGATACTGCATTTTATAGATGGGGAAACTAAGGAGTAATAGGTAGACTAGTTGGCTCAAGGGCCTACAGCTTATAAAGGACAGAACCACCACTAAGCCAGGTCTGTCTGACCAAAATTCATGCTCTGAACCTTGACCCTAAACTGGATGTCAAGTCAGGGTTGGTGACAGAGAAAAGAAATCCCAGCTTTATAATTAACACTAG